GTGTGAAAAATAACTGAACTATTGCTCTTAGCATTCATTATTAGTATTAGCTTTGGCTCTTGCTAGGTAGTTTGAACTTTTGATGATAGTATTAGATCAAAATGATATAAATAGCCATAAATCACTTTGTACTTTCCTAAGTAAGCAAGAGCTGCAAAATTCTAGTATTTGCTAGAGAGTTTATTTCATTGTTGTGGGTTGATAGTTTTGTAGGTATAATAATTATCAGTCTTCAATTGAAACAGTAAGATCTGAACATCGCTGAGGTAAGTAGTGATTCCAAAAAAAGAAGCATTTATATGAAATATTTCCGGAAAACAACGGGAGAGGAAAATTCAGAACTTTAATGAAATCAAAAAGAATGTTGATAAAAATCCTGTTCACTTCTACAGCGATCTTTCTACGGTGAATAATAGTCATAAACCACCCGGTTTTGTTTTAAGTTACAATTTCGGATACACCTAGAAGAAAATCCACATTTGTTTCTATGCATTTATAGTAGTTTATACAGGGTGTCGCTAAAAGATCTTCACAGAAACTCACCACATATACCTCGGACTAAAACAATTCGATACGAGCAAACTTACCTCAGTACAAAGTTGTTTAGTTTGGGAGCTAGACCGCTGTGAACTCACATTTTTCTTATCGTTTTTGCTTCATAACTTTGTAACGGCTTATGTATGAGATTTCACTCAAAATTTGTATGTTGGCATATCTTCATTGGGCAATGAAACCCTTATAATATCATGATTGTGATGAATGTTATTCCATGGGCGTAGAACTTGGATTTATTCAGTGAGTAAACATCTGGAACTTCTACGCCAATGGAAAGAAAGGGATCTGTTAACATTAAAACAATTAACAGATAATATGTCATGAAAATTCTTCAAAATGTTTATGATTTTCACGTATACAAAAATTTATACGACTGAAAACATGGATACAGGCAGACTCACCTCAGTACAAAGATGCCCAGTCTGACTTACTCAGTATATAACAAAAATAGCTGGTATCAGATTTCAAATTTTTTCGTTGTATAAATCTTCGTATAAGTAGAAATTATGAAAATTCTTAACAATTTTTATGAAATCTCTTCTAATCGTTTTGGTGTTGTTTTATACTTTGAATTACTAAAATGAAAATTTTCTTATGTAGTAAACAATTTGAGCAGTCCAAATTTCATATACAAACCCCTTCATTTCCATTGGCCTAGGAGTTTGAGATGTTTATTTACTAAAAAAATCAAGTTCTACGCCCATGGAATGATAGTCGCCATAATTATGATATGAGTTTTATTGCCCCATAAAGCTATACCAAAGTACAAAATTTGAGTCTAATCTTATGAGCCGTATAAATACTGTTTTTCTGCAACCGACACAAAAGTTGTCCATTATGATACCAAAATTAGCTCTTAAATTGACGTTTCTATTACTGACACAAAAATAGGTATGTTGCTAGGCAACATATTTAGTTCCTAGGAACTAAAGTTGAATTTTAGTTCCTAGGAGCTAAAGTTGAACTTTAGCTCCTAGGAACTGAAAAGTATGTACTGGACGTCATCAAGAATAAACAACATTGTGACGGTTGGTTATTTGGGTTGAGACGCATACCTTATTTGTTTCCGATTTCAGCAGATTTGGCATTTTATACCAATGCTGGAGATATAAATACACCTTATTATAGTTTAGTATTGGAATTATAAACATCTCAGCTGAGTATTTTTGTTTGATCAGGGAAGCCTTCAAGATTCAAATACTTGCTTGATCTGTATTTCATTCGTTATTCTCGGGATGGATAACTCGTTTTTGAATAATCACGGCAAGCAATAGTTTTTTGTCTCAAACAACGATATTGTTTAGCTTCATTTGATTATCAAGTCAAACACTGTGTAGTATGGAGAGGAATAAATAATCACTATTATCATTGTTGATATGCTCACTAACCTAATATTTTCCACGTCTTGTTCCTATAGCTGGCACTGGCGCGGTATTTGCCATTGGAGCACCTGGTCCATACACAAATATGTCACTCTGTGGTTGTATTTATATTGAAACTACAATTCGAACATCCTTGAAAACCTAACCTGCTGTTAATGCAGGTAGAATATTCTTAGCACATGGATTATTTGTCACTATTTGTTGCATTACGTCCATGGTTGCATTGCATACATATCGCACGGCATTGGTGGTTACATGTTTATTTGAGTTAATTGTTTCGGTTGCAGAAAAAATAGCATGTTTCATTCGGGTCAAAAGTGACTGTTCGACTCGCAAATTTTGCTTTCGCTCGGCTTCGCTAAGCGCTCCACCTCGCAAATGCAAAATTCGCTTGTCAAACAAAGTGTCACTTTTGATCCTAATAAAACAATCTACTATTTGCTCTGAAGAATATGTGGTGAATTTTTGTCAAGACCTTTTAGGGACACCCTGAATATATGCATTTAATCTATGATATATGTATATAGCTACTGTGCTTTCCCAGGAAATCCTATAGCTAACCATTCCGTACTTCACTGAAGCGTTATAAATTATGGTAATGTTTGAGATGACTTGTTCTTGTATTGTTGAGTTCTTATATCCGTGAATGCTTACTTTCTTGAAAAAGGAGAAACTTCACAATTTCAGAAGCTGGTTACGAGTCTTGATAATATGAGAGTCTTTGCTTCATTTCAGAGTATATTTGTTCATTTTTTCACATCGTTTTAACCCGCGAGGGACCGCGCGGAGTAGAATATACCCCAGGCGATATCAAATTACGGTTTTTTTGCTTAATCTGCACGGCACTGAAAAATCACGCCAGCTCAGTGGCTAAATATGATCAATTAACAAGGATTTGCATGTTTTTCGTCATTAGTTCTGCACACATCGTAATAAACATTTGGTGAATTGTTCCTGGGGTATATATTACCCCACGCGGGAAAGTATTGAAATCTTCTATATCTGAATTCGTGTCTGTACAAATGCAAATGCAACCTCATAACGAGCAGCCTGCAATGGTAGTCAAATTTGTATATTATCCAGGAGAAGAAAAAAAAGAGGAACAATTAAAAAAAGGGACGTGCGTATATTATTTATGCGCTCATTGAAATTCATTATTCAATTCAAGTATATCAATCAAATTAGGTTCGTTCTTTATTATTGCTGTTTGTTTGTTTGTTTGTTTTATCATTGTTATAAATAATGCAATTCCACATCGGACAAAGGTTTTTTTCGTCTCAAAGTCAATCAAAACCAATGGGGTAGATTACTACCCCACGCGGTCCACGTTTAAGTTTCTATCGGCGCGGTCCCTCGCTGGTTAAGCAAGTTCTGGAAAATTCAACGGCAACTGAAGTCTCCAGTTTGTGCTTCTCAGTTTTAGCAAGAGCTTAGTTTTGAGTCAACCAATTAGTAACCTTTACTACGAAACTGTGTGTAATGGTATATTATTCAACAATCGCATAATCATGACTATATCACTCACGAATATGAAACTTGCAGTAAGAGCCGAAAGCTAGTGCTGTTATCATCTGAGTGTGTAATAGCCATTATGCGCAAATATAATACTATACTTTATCTACAACTATTTGAATATCAAAGCAACTTTGAGAGTTCAGAAATATATATTTGAAAATGAGAAAAGTTATTTTGCAAAATTTCTTCATCTAATTTAAGATATGTCATCGAGCACTTATTGACAAACATCTTTGATTTCAATAAGCACCTTATAGGTTATTTCAATAATGTTCATTATAAAGATGATAAACAATGTCGGATCTAATTTTATTAACAGGAAAAAATTCGTACGAGCGCATCTGTAAATCTTATCAGGTATTTTATGCCATTTTAGTATGTGATCATATTACTGCAGATTTTTCATTCAAGAACATGAGACAAAACTGAATAGAATATTTTAATGATTGATAGCGACTACGATCCATTCAACAATGAAGTTCTATCGTTCTGATTGGTCTGGTGAATAACCCGCACGTAAAGTGAAAATTTCACAAAAAAGCTCAAAATTGTACATAGTGATTAAAAAAATTCGGATTCGAGTATTTTTCTCTTCCATGCTTTTCTGAGAACATTTACTATAGTGATGTGTATATTTTTTCACATCATCAGAAAGAAGAGATTTCAACGAACAAATAACGCCCCGAGTTTTTTTTTAAATAGCTGATATTTTTACGTGAGAATTTTCGATTGAGAATTAGGGTGTTTTTTCGATATTAAGTCAATATAAGGTGAAGAAATGAATATTTCGAATAAAAAAAATTACAGTGTCTTTAGGACATGCAAAGGTAAATTTTGACAAAATTTCGTGGAAAACATTGTTTTTTTGCAGAAGATAAAAATAAAAAACCAAAAACTTGATTTTTAGAATTTTTCACATGAATTTTGAGGTTATGTGAAAAAAGTGTGGTCACAAAAGTTGTAGGTCTCTTTATTATCTACAACTTTGCTATTAAACTTTTTTCCATAGGGCTCGTAGTTTTGCTGGAAATCAATATAAACCGTTTTTACCCTTGAAAACTCACCCCCTACCACTTCCCGATCTCAGATCGCCCGTAATTTATTTTCCTTTCATCTTTGTTATATTCTCTTTCTTTTTAAATGAGTTACATCCTACTATGATTTTTCTTCACATTTTACCATTTTCAAAGGCTTCAGCACTGGTCTACAGTAGGAAATGGTAATGGTCGTAGAAAGTTTCATGTAACCACTACAACGAAAGAAATTGGGTGTGACCACAGCACAATCATGAAACTGAATAGTGGATTTCGTCTTCTCAGTTCTGTAGTACTGAACATAGTCACGTCACTAGTCATGTCGTCATGTTTTGTTGAAATGTATAGAACAAAAATTGAAGGGGGAAATAATTCCTATTTTTTTTTTTTTTTTAATATTCTGGGGAAATTTGACTGAAACCTGGCGAAATCTGGGAAAATTTTATGAGAATATCTGAGGAATTATTTTTTTCTGCCGAACAGAATCAAATTCAATATCTCATTAACTTCGCAGGCAACGGACCCAGCGGCATTGCCCTCTCCTACATGCTCTCCGGTCACGTCCCGTACCTCATCTCCGATGACCACCCGGACGAGATGCTGGCGGCGCGGCTGCGCCCCCTGGTGGGCGAGTGTCTGCTGGGGCAAGACCTCGGGCAGCTGTCCGACGGCCTCGAGGGCCGCACGACGAACCAGATGTCGCTGCTGCTGGACGCGCTGCTGCATCCGTGCGCCGACGTCGGGCTGGAGTTGGAGCCGCTGGTCGAGTTCAGGCGGACGGGGATCAAGGTTGGTGCTGGTTGGTGGTAATCGGGGCAAAATTCCAAAAAAAGCTCTCCGTTACAATCCTTGAAGCATTTCATGTAACAATTGGATAAATGACGTTAACCCCCCTATTTCGACCCCGCTTAATCGGAAAATACCGTTTATCAAGTCGAAATTCCAACCGGAAGTGAGATATTCAAGGTGTCCAAAATACCCCTAATATTAAATTATTTTCTACTTTTGGTCAACTATACGACTGAGGTGCCGATGTCTATGTTTTCGAAGGTGTAGAACACGATGATACACTCAAAAAATGATCTGAAGCATTTAAAGTTCATCAAATGATCAAATTTAGACGAAATGGGACAAAATTCAAAAAAAAAATTGTGAAAACCCGTTGTATATACTTGGAATCAGAATGGAATTTAAATCCCTCGATTTTTTCCATTCTCTTGTTATTTTTTCTGGTTAATTTTACCTGGAAGTGGCACCGAAGAATGTGTTGACTGAGGGCATCAGTGGTAGGTGGCAAAAACTTTAGCATTTGCACTCGGCATGCGTCTCATCCACAAAACCACCAGCCACAATGACTTACAGGCTGCCAAAGTCAAGAAAACACAGAGGAAAGGGTTTTGCAGCCGTTCGAAGAATAATCAAAAGAGGAATCAAGGCAACCTAGAAGTCATTGTGGCTGGTGGATTTTTGGATGAGACGCATGCCGAGACAAACAAAGAAAGATACCTCGCACACTTATTTTCAAACCATGTAGAGGCTGATACCAGGATGGTGCTCCATGCGGTAAAAACCGGAATAGGGGCAGTTATTTCTGTTAGAGACACCGATGTGATTTTATTATTCATCTATGACTTTGAAAGAATTCAATACAAGGAATGCTAGGTGATGTGTGGTACTTCCCGAGACAGAAAGTATATTCCAATTCAGGAACTATGTAAGAAGCTCACACCACAACAGATCAAAGACTTGATGGCTTTCCATGCAATCATTGAATGTGATGATACTACATCTTAGTTAGCGTCAGTCACAAAAACAGGACGGTGGAAGCAGTACATAAAAGAAAACTACTGTTAACTTCTCAGTCAGCTTGGAAAGACTCCTCATCTAGCCCCCGAGTATCTCTGTTTGGTTGAACAGTTTGTGGTGCTAGCTTTATACAAGGTTTGTTGCGTCCCTACCGTTTTTGAGATGACGACTTTGCAACCTTTTCTTGGTCACACTGAATATCTTGTCACGTGAATCTGTTGGCACTTTCTTCTAAAACATAATATATAGTGTTTTTCCATAGCCCATTATGTAATTGAGTTAGTCCTTAATGACTTACTGGTAACCACAAATCTAGAGAAAATATCGGATGTTTCCGAAATTGGACCGACAAATTGAATGGCCATAATGAGACACGGTGAGACATTGAATCTTGGAGAAAAATATCTAATTTCTTTTGAAATTTAACTATTATTGAACGTCCGGCAACATTGCAGGAATCATAATATACTTCCGGTGCTTCTGAATTCGTTGAGTTTTTTGTTTTGCAATTTCCCATTGCAATTCTCTCTCCATATTCATCAAATCAAAATCAGAATAATACTGTACTCCAAAAAGGAGAAAATTAGTTAGCATTTCAAATGTTCAATTTCGCAGATATAATAATGATTTGTTTCATAATTCATAATTCGAATGTTTTTTTCATTCCCACAACTTAATATTCTGCTCCTTTCTTAATAAATTGTGGAGTTGATTTCGAGTTTATTTGCTATTTCTTCATAGTGTTACTTCAATTTTGTTGACAACAAATTCAAAAGTCGATCGGCTGGAATCATTATTTTTTAAATATTGGCACCATTCTCAGTATGTATGATTTTATATTGTTTTATTATTTCACAGTTTGACCACATTGTGTTAGGAAAAGGACCTCCTGGCGGTTCTTGGCACCACATGGACCCCCAAATTCTGACTCTATCTCTGGGAAGTTGGATGTCTCTACCTGGTCTACCACTCATCACCAGAGATTCCAGAGAGAAAAGAGCATATGCTTCAAATGTGGCAAAGTATTATGTCCAGTATACCGAGCAAATGGATCTGGCAAAGCATTTCAGGAACAACGTTTCAGTTCATTTAGTGGAGAGGTGTGGTAATTTACTTATTTATTTATACATTTCCTCAAGGTATAACTCTTAAGTTTGAAATGATTAATTTATTTCAAATGATGGTATTGCTTTCCCATTGTCTTATCTAGAAATAATCTTTTTCATGGAAATCCCTACTAGTAAAATTGCGTTCATTAAATAACAATAATCTGAAAGCATGAAAAAACAGGTTATATACATTGAATACCGATTGTACCGGGTGAACAACTAAGAATCGCTGTCGGCCATATCTCAGCAACGAATAATGATACAAGTTTGAGATAAAATAAATCTAATGGTATGCATATCATTACACAATGTAATAGAGAAACTAAATCTCAACAGACCAACAAAAACCGCAACATGATAGCTTTTCGCCAACGGAAGATATTCATTATCAGAGTTGGAAGAATGATAGATATGACAGCCGTTCTTAGTTGTTCAACCAGTATAATAACTATGCAAATGTTGGAAAATAGTTTTTATGAGAAAAGGCACAGAATTTCTTTTAAATTTTCAATTCCTACTAGTATAATCAGAATAAATTTTTGAAACAATGCTACCGTTCAAACCAATACCATATAAACAACAAATGAAATTGTAATTATAGTTCTCAGTTCTATGCTAATTTGAACTCGCACATACCACGTGATATGCTTGGAAAAGTTGGTTGACGAGTATGCGCACTGAATATACCTATCGTACTAGACCGGCCTTCGATAATTCGAAACATACCATGTATAGTGAACTCTTTACTATCTATCTTTATCTAATGATGCAAAATTAAGCCAAATTCATATTCATATAGTTTTTAGGAAAAATATGTGATGAATCAGATATTGGTAATGGAAAAAACTGAAAATTATGAAATTCACCGTCGAATAATTGCAGAATTTTCCTCAAATTTCTATGATATCATCACACTTGGAAAAGACACATACATACCTCATTCTTTGATAAGACCATCAGCTTTGAACCCCTGGTTCAACAAGAACTGTTCTAGAGTTGTTGTCTTGAACCAAACATCCCACCAAAGCAGTCGGAAGAAATTTTACTAATACAGTTCTCAACACACTAATTGGACCACTCATAATTTGACTCATTTTTGAAGACCTTTGAACAACAATACTCTGTGTCTCATACTTGGGCAATAAATATTGGAAATCAGTTTATAAGAATCATCAATATCAGGAAACAAGTTTGAATTGAGAATTTTCATCCTGTATTTCAATTTGAATTGAATTATAATGGATATCAAGAAGACCGTTTCTGAATATACTGAATCAAATGGGCCATGGTTTTAGTCACCGTTTTTGATTTTTCTTTCCGAAATGAGATTTTGTCCTTTTTTCTTATCACCCTGTATATTCCACAATAGTGCTTTTTTCGTCTCTCATTGTCCTCCACAAAACATGGGAACAGTCCTTCCCAATATTCAGCTCAAGTGGAGTTCTAGAGAGAAAATTCAAGAAATGCAAGACTTTCAAAAAAAATCTAATTTTTGTTCCAATGGCCAATTATGGAGAAATCACGAAAATGTCCCGAGATGAGGTCCCAGTGTATCATAATATGACTGACTTTCGATCAGAAAAAAATTTCTCAGTTCTGGCTGCATTGGAAATGTAGACCATAGTGTAATGGTTCCACTTTACACCCTGTGTAAGTTTTTTTCTGCGGACTTTTTCAGAGTGTTCTAGCTCTCTTTGAAGCCGATGAAATATCACATCTGATATCGTAAACCGCATGAAGATCGGTCAATTTTTTTAAAAAAATACAGGTCTTTGAAAAAGAGTTGAATTATGAGCGGTCCATTCAGTGTGTTGAGAACTGTAGTTCATTTTCACCACTCTCCAAAGCCGACGGCAATGGATGATGTGGTTTCTAATATTATCCCGAATGAAATATAAAAATTCACCCTTCATAGTATGACGAAAGTAAGTTGATATTTTTAGCATCTCTGCTCCCTGTAACCTGCCAAAGGCACCATGAGCTAAAATTCATATTTGCCCATCGGTCTTACCTGTGTTGTGAGCATGCGCTGAGAAATTTTCAGTTTTTAGAAAATAAGGTCTGGCGTTCATGGGATCTTGCTCTATGATGAGATAAGGTCTTGATACATAACTCTCATTTGTCGGCCTCACTACATGCATACATTTTAACAACAACAAAATATCTCCTCAACATTTTTTTAATAGTTAGTACTTGAAGCAAAGTATAATTTTAATATCATAAGATCTGGTTTTTTTCAAACAAAATTGACATTCTATTCGTTATAGATCTCTTATGCAATTCACTTTTCAGATTGGATGACTCTTCTAGCCAATTCCGCAACGATCGCTGTGAAAGAAGCATCCTTAAGAGAAACAATTGGGTGAAGAAAGTCAACAAAGAAATGAGAGAGGACGAAGAGGCTGGCATTGAATCGGAAATGGATAAGACCAGAAATAGAAAAGACAAAACATGTTTCATTTCAAACGCCATCAACTGCTTGATGTTGAAGCACAGAAAGAAGTCGCGATGTAAGAGGCCCAGAGACAGTAGCCCGAAAAGACAACTGGTCACCGTAGACCCTCAATTGCCTAGTGACAAAAAACGTTCAATAAGTTTATGCTGTGATTCTAGAAATGTATGTGATAAGTACAATGATACCGTTAATATTTATTCTCTGAGGAATTCCTGTAGCCTAGACTTTAATCCAGTGCCTTCGGCTTATAATTTAGAATGTGATCCGGAGGCCAACTGGCTGGTGACAGCGGTGGATACGCAGACAGGAGAGAAAATCGATTATTCCTGTAAATACTTGGTGTTGGCAACCGGCGGCAATGATTTGCCGAATAGATTAGAGGTTAGTATAATATAAAATAAATAAATAAATCAATAATCAGGTTATAAAATATTCTTCATTGAAAACGGTATCCCAATTAGTAAGTTTCATTTATAATTTCTGTATTATTGTGCACATTTGTGTGGGTATGACTTTATTCAAATCAGCTATGCCGAATTCGTCGACAATTCCATGACGTATATGCCGTCATCTGTGATATAAGAACCAATTAGGAGAGTGTGCCTCGATAGTACACTGTTCCTTCTTTTCCAGCTGGTAAGACTACGTTTTCACGGCAACTACGAATTTGAACAGAACAACATCTTGTCACCTGGTAAGACATGTAGATGACAGTTTCATATTGGTCATGGAATTGTTTCAATAAAAATACAATTCCTGCACACAAATCTTGAAATCGATCAAATTGCTTCCAAGCAATTGGATCTCGTTGATTTCTGACAGAATTACTTATTGCTATTAGAGCCAGCACTCATACTATTATCCCTGATAATTTCAGTCATTTCAGATAACATTATTTTGATTGGTTAGACACCTTCCTATATGCCATGATATGATAATTATAATAAGCATATGCGAGTTGGCTATTTTTTTTAGTAACAAAGCTACTGTGTTATATCTACTCAGTTAATAGATTTTGTTCTAATTCTTCAAACACAGGGAAGTGCTGAAATGTTCTAAACGATATTTTCAGTACCTATAGTCCAACAAATAGATTGATATAAGGAACATGATACAATTATTGAATGGATCAGGGTGATTTTTATTATATATAGACTCATTTTTTCCATGCAAAGTTGAGCCAACCAAAAACACAGGTGCCTCGTCATACCCTCAATTCTATAGAATAGGTGAGATGAGCGAAAGAGTACTCCAAGATTTATAAGACATTTTCCATATTACTTTGAAAAAAATGACTGAAATACTGATTTACCCATTCACAGAGGAATTTCCTATAGATAATAATAATTATATGGAATATATAGATGGAATCCGAGATGGAATCATTTTGCTGGTAGGTTAGGTATGCGTTTTTTGCTTTTCAATGAATTCAAAGAATCTAGAATGATGTAGCTGTGAAAAGAAGATAGAATGAACGAATCACCGTCAGTCTTTGGAGGGATATGCAAGAAAAAAATTCTTCATCTCTCAGACGGTTAGTTAGAGAATTATCAATATTGCAGAATTGGAAAAACATATTGCAAAAAAAAAAGAATAAATACATTGAATTGATAAAAATCTCCAGTATACCTATTGCTGCTAGTCCTGATCCAGTAACTATGAAAATAGCGAAATAATTATTGAAGTTCAATATCCCTATAATAGTGCCAAATATCTGACTCCGAATAAAGGGATAGCAAAAATAAAAATAACATTTTGGAATGAAGATGGCCAAGTTAACAAAAACCACAATTGGTTTCATGGAATCCAGGGACAACGCCATGTTAAATAAATTTGTTATTTTGCAACTTGAACTCGAAATGGCATGAAAGTGAAAGTAATTCCTAGAGATGATGATTTCTGGTCATTCAAAATGGAATTATCAGAGGAATGGAGATTAGATATCCTACTTATGTCAATGAGAAAGACACTACATATACAGTCTGTCCAAGATAAGGTTGGACAGCATGGGGATCTCGGAAACGGTAGGAGATACGAAGTCGCTTAAATGGGGAAAAAGTTGCGCATTCGGAGGCTCATATCAAGAGCCTTCGAAAATTCTGAAAATTATTTTTAGTTTTTGAGTTATATCGAAAAAAGTGAATTTTTGGAATTTCTATTTTATTTTTTTTTCTCCGTTATTATCAGAGATACAGAAAAACTGAAAATACTTTTTCATTGCAACTTTTGATGAGGTTTAACGTGGTGATACCGATTTTTTTATGCGACGTTTCGTATTCGTGGAACCATCATCAACTTTTGTTTTTTAAATACGGTCCTGATAATTTTTTCACAGATTCTGAAAGGTTTTTTCATTCAGAATTCAACAATGTACTATACAAGGTGATTCGAATGTGTTTCGACCTATTTCTATCCATCATCAATGTTTTTTCGAACTTCCAAAAGAAAAAAAGCCATCAGTTCCACTTATTTCTTAGCATTTAGTGTCAAACTTGATAGATTAGTTATTCAATACTGAATAGTGAATAAAAAATATTTCACTACATCATTCGATCAATGCAGCGTTTAAAATTGTTGATGAATTCTTACACGAATTACTTTAACAACTTAACTTTGACAATACCTACAGAGACATTCATAACAAATGTTCAAAATGATAACCATTATTTTCTGAACAAATAAGATATCCTCTTCTCACAGTTGTTTCTAAGACATTGCTAAGCATTTCTGGGGTTATTCTATTGAATGCTTCGAAGACACTGTCCCTTAGTTCTTCTTCATCCTCAAAGTTATTTGCGTGTACAAAGTTCGATATATCCGCTAAGAAAAAATCCAGCTGTGTTAAATCAGGCGACCGCGCCGGCCAAGGGATAGAAACGCACGGACTTCTCTGGAATTATGTACCGGAGCGCCATCTTGTTGAAACCAACAGAGTTCTGAACTTCCGCAAGCGAATTTCTATAACGTTCGGAAGTCTGTGTTTCATGGTAAATAGGAGGAACAATAATTCGTGTACCAAATATTGCAACCCACATATTAAAGCCAAAACGCTGTTGGTGTCTCGCTGTAATGTATAAATGTTCATTTTCTCGTGAACGATAATGTGTATTTTTTCTATCGAAGCTACCATGATTAGTGACCATGCTTTCATCAGTCCAGATAATTGTTCGAAAGAAATCTGCAAAATTTTAACATTTCCTGGTATACCACTCACAGGATGTCTTGCGCCTTTCGTCATCTCCTGGTTTTAGCGCTTGACATATTCTGAATTTGTATGGATGGAATTTTTGTTTCCGCAAAATGAAATGGGTTGTTGATTGAAACCAGTTGATGAGGTATTAGTGTGTTGACTAATTTTCCTTCAAAATAAGTGGAACTGATGGCATTTTTCCTTTGGAGTTTCGAAAAAACATTGATGATGGATGGAAATAGGTCGAAACACAAATGAACCACCTTGTATGATACATGGTTGAATTCAGAATAAAAAAACCTTTCAGAATCTGTGAAAAAATTATCAGGACCGTATTTAGAAAACAAAAGTTGATGATGGTTCCACGAATACGAAACGTCGCATGAAAAAATCGGTATCACCACGTTGACCGTCATCAAAAGTTGCTATGAAAAAGTATTCTCAGTTTTGCTGTATCTCTAATAATAACGGAGAAAAAAAATAAAATAGAAATTCCAAAAATTCCGTTTTTTCGATATAACTCAAAAACTAAATATAATTTTCAAAATTTTCGAAGGCTCTTGATATGAGCCTCCGAATGCGCAACTTTTTCCCCATTTAACCGATTTCGTATCTCTTACCGTTTTCGAGATCCCCATGCTGTTCAACCTTATCTTGGACAGACTGTATACTCGCATGACTAGTGGTTACAATATTATGTTTGTTTCAAAATCGATTGAATCAATCGAGGAGTAACGTAACCCCCGATAGAAGGGAACCATCTTAGAATAATTATGGTGTACAGGCATGTGGGATGCCGGGCCAGCTTTTGCAATATACATAGTAGTTTGAAAAACTGATGTATATTATAGTAAAATATTCTAAACGGAGGCATCGTAGGTAGACACAATTTCGAAATATGTCGAACAGCACTTCATCAAATCTTGTTTGTCTGTAGAACGGCAAAGCTCTGGAATTCATTGCCTGAAGTGTTTCCAAGCACTCAGGTATGTTCTCCAAAAGTTAAAAATAATCCGATAATTACCTCCTCTCCCTATCCTCCGTAGATGCGGATTCTCTTCCGTGCGCTCCCAGCGATAAGAAAATACAACATTCCATATATTTGGTATGTATTGCTCTAATTTCGAAAATATTCTGTAGATAATATAATCATCATATACCTATTGGTCAATTATCAAAAATGTACAACATATCTAATCATATGATACACCAACAAATCAATTATATAAAATAACTGAATCATTCTCATTAGAAGAAATGTTCAAAATCGAAAGAATGAAAATTACATACAATATCATAAATAAAAGATTGAAATCTAATTTAATTTTAACAGGAAACAATGAAATTCATAATTATCAAACTAGACAACATGGTTTATTTCATCTTGATATCGCTAATACTTCTATAGGCCAAAAAAGATTCACCCACGCTGCTCTCTTGGAATATACCAGATAATATAAAAAATTGCAGAAATACAATAAAATTCAAATACCATCTTAAAAAATTTATCATTTCTGAACGAAATAGATGACTTTTTTTTTCAACTTTTGATTCATATTCAAATTGATTTTTGCTCACCAATATGAAATGATTTGTCAAAATTTAATAATTAATGTTTTCAAATATTTTATTATTCATCAGTTTATTATAATTGTATAGTTTTATGTATTATTGTTAACTATACTTCCTTATACCAGAACTTGATTCTGACTGGAAGTAACATTTTCAATAAATAAATAAATAAATAAATAAATCACCAGCCCCAAAAATCAAATAGGTACTGACAAAAGTTCAAAATATTAGTAATTATGAGACCATTTGACTGTCTCCGATGAATAATCAACCGGTTGTCAGTGAGCGGCAAAAAGTAATCAAGACGGTGTCGCGCTACTTTATGTTCGGTGGCCTCGACGTGCCCCTCGATAAACATACTATTTCAGCTTTCTACGAATTCTTCAGGTTGATCCCGCCCCTTTCGAAGAGGAAGGGATAAGACAGAAAACTGATAACATTCGAATAATTTCGAGTGGCATATGGCCTCTTAACGTAGCCCCTTGAATATCACACCCTCGTCGCCAATTCAATACGTATCTGCTTTATAGTTGAGTATTTCGTATAGAAAGTTCTGACATCAAGTGAAGAACTCCAATAACATGATTAATCCAAATCTTGTATTACAGAGTGAACACAACACTATGTAATTATGAACTCATTTGATGAAAACTTCTCTGAAGGAAACTTCCCAATAACCGCTATTGCCAGAATCGTTCTGATAAACCTAGAACCAACATGCAAGCGAATGTTATTGCGACTTCTATACATTTGAATTTGAAAAATACAATGAACATCTACAGTGAACTAAAACAGATTACCCCTAATACTGAATTTAACATACTTATTCCATGTTGTAATGCCAATTTATTGAAAAATATCTGCAGGTTTCAAAGGAAAAGGGAGATCCAAACTGGTTGGTCTATGATTTGAGGAGCTTAGAGGAAAAAGTTGATGCTCATGTTGAATGTCATCATAGCGATGAAATTGATCCTGTTCTGGTAGTGGGTGCCGGTTTGAGTGCAGCAGACGCCATCATAGCAACTAGAGGAAGAAACATTCCAGTTATCCATGTGTTCAGGAACAAGTCTCCTGAGCTCAATAAACTCCTACCTGAGAATTTGTATCCGGAGTACCATAAGGTAAGATTCCTCATCCAGAAATGATAGTAAAAATCTTTATATTAAACATTATAGTCTGTGGGGTCGTAAATATCTTCTTGGCATATACCACCGACTTGTATTTGAGCCAATTGAAATAATTTTATCTCCTAAAATGTTCTAGATATTGACTGGCATTTCGCACTGGTTCATTCTGCTGTTTATTGAGTATTATTTCAATAGCTCAACTTTCTCGTTGTAACTTCCTGTTTCACCGAAAGGTGGACATGCCATTTTCCAATGTTTTTATTTCTGTTTCATGAAATGCAATGACAACTTAGTTTTCCAAATTGCATTGTTGAATTTGTTTACGATTGTTAACAAATTAGTTCTGATAATTGAGGGGGGATGCTGGAGTGATTTCCTGCTAATCTCGGCCTCCTCAGGAGGCCCGCGCTAGGTTAGTGGAAAAATAATATTAAATTTATTGAAAGCAATTCCCTTGCTAACCTGAAAGCACCTGAATGCATAAAAATTCATGGTAATCAGATCTCAAACTACACCAGGTAGCACTTGTGTCAATATTGGATGGCTGCCGATATCCGACGCGCGACTTTTATAGTAAAATTATAGGAATTTTCTTTAGTGCGTTCCAACAGATAAAGAAAAGTGGAAATATGCATTTTTTCGCAGCTAATTTGGCTGCATTTAGCGTATAATTTCTGATCGGGGCAGCATAACTTCAGTTTTTATATGTGTTTTCAGTATACCGGGTGGCTACGGAAGTATTGCCTACGGAATATCTCAGTTATTGTATGAAGTAGGTTTGTGAAATTTGGAGCGTCGATATAATGACATATGAGCTAGGATTTGAGCATATTGACATGTCGAAGTTAACTTCCGGTCTGACCGGAAGTAACATCAACTTTCTTATTTTAAATGGAAACCCTATTATTTTTCTTTTCGATTTATTCAGCATTAAATTCCCTTTCTAATGACATATCACAAGTTGGTATCTAATCAGAAACTAGATCAGAAAAAAATTATTATTGAAATTCACCGAGTAGGCCGTGGAAGCAAAATGAAAGCCAAAAATTGAAAAGTTGGCTATGGAAACCATACCAATGGTTATACTGAATAGTACAGGCAAGAAAAAGTTGTTCCTATTTAAGTTATGGACCTACAGAGTATTGTTTTTTTCCCAATTTTTCCAATATTTTTTTGGCGGCTTTTTATAACGCCGACGAATGAAAATAAAATAGCACAGTAGTAGCAACTGTTATCAAGTGACGTATGGTTTCCATAGCCAACTTTTCAATTTCTGGCTTTCATTTTGCTTCCATGGCCTACTCTGTGAATTTCAATAATATTTTTTTCTGATCTAGTTACTGGTTAGATACCAACTTGTGATATGTCATTAGAAAGGGAATTGAATGCTGAATAAAGCGAAAATAAAAAAAATAGGGTTTCCATTCAAAATAAGAAGGTTGATGTTACTTCCGGTCGGACCGGAAGTTGACCTCGACATGTCAATATGCTCAAATTCTAGATTTTTTGTCATTATATCGACGCTCCAAATTTCACAAAGCTACTTCATACAATAACTGAGATATTCCGTAGGCAATACTTCCGTAGCCACCCGGTATATTTCGTAAAATCGAACAGAATTATTTGCTCTTATTTTGATTTCCTAGCTAATAACTAGTCAATGAACAGTGAATACGTTTCGAGAACGGTGTTGAGAGACTAAAGAAGTATTGAAGTTATTCAATTTATACATATCCAGATATCAAATGAGCATTTCAATGTAACAATAATAAAAACAATGAGGCTGATGGACAATCAAATGATTCACGAAATATTATTTTCCAGATTAGGTATAATCAAAAAATTACTGTCCTGAGTGTAACAAAAAAACAAAATATGGGGCAAATCTACTTCTCGCTTCTCTACATATTAAATTTCATATCTCACATCGCTTTCCTCGCCTCTCTGCTACCAAATAGTATATACAAATACAAGGTCCACCCCCAACTCTCCGTATAGCAGCCGCAGTCAACGATGATACTCGTTTGATCCGCTTTTTTCGACAAAAATCTGACAATTATTATTCTTCAGGTTCACCAGATGATGACAGACGGAGGTTCCACTTACCCCTTGTACACAGCATACCCGGAATACAACCTCACAGATTTGGACGAGGATTCGCACACGGTGATCCTAACCTCAAAAGAGGGAGTCGCAATCAAATTCAACATCTCCTATGCCGTGGTGCTCATCGGATCGAGGCCGGACCTGTCATTCCTCTCCGACGGGGCTCAAATTGGCGTCCGCAAGGATTTGCCCGTAGATTGCAAAACCAATACGGTGGATATAGATAGGTTAACTTATGGTGTGAATGGTTATGGTAATTTATTTGTTCTTGGCCCTTTGGCGGGCGATAATTTTGTTAGGTTTTTGCCAGGTGGGGCTTTGGCGGTTATCGAAGAATTGTACAAAAGAAATTCATACAGTTGACCAAATTGAACATAATGATATAGTTGTACTTGAGCTGGAGGATAGTCAAAGTTGAATTTTGTGTTTATAAATAATTGTGATATTCTTAGAAACGATTTTTTTACCTCTAAACAATCATACATTTTAAATTAATTCATATAAATTATTCTAATTTCCATAACAAGTTGTATTGTTGTAGCTTCAAGCTTAACAACACTGGCTGTGAAAAAATAATGATTTTTGAAGAAATCATTAAATGTGTTTAACCACAAGAAGTTGAGGCGGATAAAATGTTGAAATATCTTTCAGAAAATTAATTCGTTATGTATCAAGTAGGTACATAGAAATAAAAGATGAAAATATGAATGATTCAAATAAAAACTTGTAACTTGAAAAACTTCTTGTCTACACCATCTTGTTACCAGTTCGTAAATTACCACTACAGTGCAGATTCGATAATCCGAACTAATAAAAACCAAGGCGATTCGGATTACCAAAAAATTCGGATTACCGAAGCAGTTTTTTTTTTTTAATTTTTATTACGAAATGCAAAAAAAACATAAATACGAAAAAGTAACTCAAAAATATGCATAAAAGTAAGAATATAATACTAGTTTCTAAAGTAATTTGTAATTTTTGTTTGCTTAACACATCTTCGATTATTTATAAAAGCCATTTCTTTTAATCTTTGAAGTACAAGAATATCATTTAACGGAATATTATTTTCTTCCTTGCGTAATGTGAATCCCAGATACTAACAAAAGAACAATTAGGGGAATCCCTGAACATTTCACTCACAATTTCTATAGGAAATAAATAGGCCTAAAGGTATAGGTTCGGATTATCGAGTACTATGAAATTCGGATTATAGAGTACTCAATGTATTGAAAATGCTTGTTCGGACTACTGAAGAATTCGGATTATTGAACGTTCGGATTATCGAGTCTGCACTGTATTGGATTGGTTTATTCAAGGGACCTCGAAACTTGACAGATGGAAATCGGTTCTAAGAGTGTAGTGTTGGTGACTTGGAACTTGTATATCCGGAGAACATAATTCAAGGGGTGATTCTTCTCATGGAATCAATGCAACTGTTTCTATAATATTTTCATAAAATCTCAAAAGTATCAGGTCTCAAAGTTTGTTTCTCAAAATCAATATTTCTCATAATTATTGTTTTAAAGTATACGGATCTTCTTCTGGCACACTCATCTATTATTTATAATGGTATGTGTTTTTTTGTTCTTGAATCTGAAGAGCCTTGATCACCCTTGAACCAAAGATGATAAACCTTTGTTATTGTTTTTACAAGAGCGATTTTTAGACAATTTGAAGAGGATCGGTAAAAAGTAATTTGAATAAAACAAACTTGGAGGTCTTGAGACTATTTTATCAGATCTCAAGAAAATGTAGAAAGTAGCTGTTTCTTGGTTCGATTTTACAAGTGAAGTCACTCCTCAAGTTATTTGCTCATAATATATAATTAATTCCGAAAAGTATATATTCTTGAGTAACAAACAACAACAATGAAATTTATTATGGATATGTTGAATTGAAAAATCAATAATTTCACATAACAAATATTTGCTTTACCAGGTTATTGGGAGTAATAGAGGACAATCAAGTCCCCCACAGGACAGATAATTATCAAGTCGAGGAAATCACCGCTTTTCCATTAATCTGTTAATTTCATCTAGGGAATTTGATTCCTTTAGGCACGACATCTTTTAACTCCCAACTTTTCTTCTTCCTGAAATATCAGTTCTTGGTGTACTTAGGCAGATAAAAATATTTGTGTTCTGGCCATTTAATGAAAATATAAAACCTATAATTTTGATAATAAATGTCGAAAATTGAGGTCCCCCTTTTGAATCTGGATCTTTTGTTATGTTTCGACTGTGCTGTGATTTAAATCTGCGGTTTTTTATTGTATACTGGAGTGATTTTGAAGTGTGTCATGGAAATTGAAGAAACGAATTTATTGATTCGTTTGCGAGACTTTTTTGATCATATAGTTTTTTTTCCTGGGCATAGACTTCAAGTTGAAGCTGAATGCTTCGTATTTTGCTTTTTTTTTTCTTGATTTCCAATTGAGTGAGGGTATCTTAGCTGTGTGTATGAGTTGTATTTCTTATATTACCAAAAAGGAGCAAGAATATTTTTATGAATCGTTTTCTTGTCAACCTGAACTGCACTTTCATGAATTTCTTCAAAACATTAATACATATTCTATTTCATTCCTGTCTTTTTCAAAAGCTATAATATTACTTACTGACACACTGATGATGACTGTATAGTCGAAAATGCTCTGCTAGGAATATTGAATAAATAATTTTGCACCTAATACAACACTTTGTACAATCATTTGGATTTCCAATTGCTCTTCATACTTATTGAATAGTTAATATTTTTCAATTATTTTTTATTATTTTCGAGTTTGTTGAATAGGTGGTAGTGGTTTGTACTCACTATAGAAATAATACTAATATTTTTATTTATAGACGGGTAAAGAAAACCCCAAAAATCTAGAGAAATGGAAGTGTAACAAGGCCCATTGGCATAAATTGAAATAAATAATTTTTTTATATGATTTTTTTATTCTTTTCCATAATAGTTAAAAGCTTTTTCTTCGTCGGATTCATGCAGGAAATATGTTACTATTTTATATAGGTAAGACAGCAAATGCAATAAGATTTTGAAGTCGTTTTTTAGCACATGTCACACGCGTCGGCCAATTTTTTTTCAGTATAGGTATGTGATTTGAGATACCTTTTGTTCCATTTTCGAGTTTCTTTGGATATTGCACCACCCACAGATACAAAGAGGTCATCAGGATCTGACCTCTTTCCTTTCATTCCACCTTTTCCACCCATCACTGTGTGAACTGGCCTAATGCAACTACCTGTAAGTACTTCCACCAAGGCGTTTTTATCAATTCTCTTCGATTTTTCTACTTTTGTCACATTCGTTTTATCCCCCAATTTCGGGCTATGTCGTTTGGGTTTTGTAGACGGTGTTGACCAGATTGGCTGCCTCCTTTGTTCCTCCAACAATTACTTTGGGAATCTTCCGAATGATCCTCAGGCGTTTCATTCCCGGCAATTTCTTCGTTTTCAGTTTCTTTACCAATCACTTCTTCCAAAGTAATTGTGAGATAGTAGAGACAGTTAATGTCCTTGAAGTAGGAATAACGTTTCCTCTAGTTCTAGAAGTTGTGTTTTCATTAAAATATTATCGATACCTTTGTTGCAATCACGAAACTAATCGTCTAATAACATATGGTAAACAAAATAGCCAAAATGCTCAATGTGGAATTAAATTTTAATAATGAAGCAAAAATCTCCACAAGTATTCAATAAAATGTACAACAACAATGGTAGATGACGGGAGAAAAACAACCAAATCATTTTCTAGTGTGAGTTTTGACATCACAGTTATACGTTTCATTCCAGGTCAAAAACTTCTGAATGAATGGTTTAAACCACGAAAACTAGTTGAGGAGTGGTAAAACGTCGAAGTTAGAGGTAACGAATGTTTTTATTTTTGTTTTGGCTGAATATTGTGTTTTTTTGTAGCTTGGAGCGCACGAAAGGGAATCCCTAGAATGTTGGGAGAACATCGTGCGTGCCTAGGTAGGATAGGGAGATGAGGTAGGTATTGTTTTTTTTTGGAGTTCATAAAAGTTTTTGAAAATACTAGCTGCACTTTCTGTTGAAATGGCATTCTTTCTTATTTCTGTACAGAACCTGTTCTTAAGTCGTAGTACTAGTCCAAAGTAGTAGCCATCATTGCTCACTCTGTTCAGCTGTAGATTATATATGTTTATCATCATGAAGGTTCCATATTGAATTGACTAGCTTTAAAAAAAACATTGTGATGATGGTCTGGTGAATATTGAACTTGGTCCTGAGCATGGATAAGGATTTTGACAGCTTTCATTTCGAAATATTCTGTTTTCTTGAATAAGATAAATTACTTCGTCACACTTGAAAACGGTTAGAAATCAATCTTGAACACAGTTCAACAAGAAAAATAACTCTAGTCTCCTGGCTAATGCCATGCACAACATTGCAACCAGATGAGATCATCAAATAGTGTTTTAGGTGCACTTTCTGTTGAAATAGTCTTTCTCAGTTCTGTTCAGAACCTGTTCCTAAGTTTTAGTACTAGCCCAAAGTAGTATCTAACCATCGTTGGTCAAATGCTATTTCATTTTATTATAGTCACGGGATGTCTGTGAGACTGCTGATATGGTTTTCCACCAATGTTTTCTATTTTATCTTTGTACGATTTCTAGGATGTGTCATACAAATATGTATATTGAAGTACAAATACGTTAAAATATAGTCTTCATACATTAACATACTGTTACGATAAACTTTCAGGTTCTGCCTTCCACAAAACACTCATTAGAAAACAAGCGATTCATTTGAATACAAACACTACAATCTACAATACATGATACAGAATCACAATAATTATGTCTCTAACTAATATAACACCTTCAACTACCTAATTTACTATTTCACTCTATGTCTCTCTATACAATAATAATACTGTCGTGCTACCTGGCGATATCTTTATCTGGCCCAAGACATTCTGGCTTTTTCATATATTTCGCCAAAGGCGTCGTACATCTTCCACGAAACGCCCGGGCGATGTGATCCAAAAGCGGCGCGAAGTCTATTCTGCAAAACGTAGTTTCGTAACAATGCACAGTATACAACGTACTTATGAATGATCTCAAATTGATATGCAATAAAAGCAGGAACAATTTGTATTATATTTATTTTTGGGGTGATACCAGTAACCAGTAACCAGAATGATGTGGATAAGAAGTGAGTTTCATTCAACTACTGGGTTCACAATGTTCAAATGGGTATTGAAAATACTCTGGTTTATATGCTATTCTGATTAAAACAAATTCTTCAAACAGTTTATTGTGAATCAACGACCATTTAGATATTTTGAGCATTATTGAGAGACATAAACCCCTCTGGATGTGAATACAATTTTTATAATTGGAATTGAACCAATTGAAAACGTCAATTCCAATTGTAAATATAATTATTAGATCCAATTGTTGGATTTCTAAACTGCCATAATGCTTCTTAAACCTTTGAGATGTTCTCAATGGTGAGGCATTAATTTTAACAGAATGAAGTACTCATAATAATGTGTCGTTTCATGAAAATTTGCATTTATAAAATTTTCAGAATAAGTGACCCTAAAAACTTAGCGAGATAAATGTATCAACCTGAGTCAAGTATGTTAGCAAACAGCATGCACACTCATGCTAGGTGTAACAACCATGTCACTACAACACAACAGCGAACAGATTCACATGCGTTCACTGTTGATTCTCTAGTCTAACCAAGTTTTTTGAATGGTGATTCAAGTCATCCTTCATCTGCTGTTTCAAATATTCTGTATTAGGAGCCCTCTGAACAAAATTCACATGTTATCACTCTACTAACGCACTTCTTTGAATAATTGCTTTCTTGCCGTCTAAAGTTTTCAACCACAGGATGACAGTTTAGCTCGATTTTTTATGTATTGGTAGATAACAGCAATATCAGCTTGATTAGATAGATATACACTGGGTATGCCTTTTGTAACATTTCATGAATCTCATTTGGTGAACAAAGAGTTTAACTATTACGATAATTGCATTATTCGTACGATAAGTTCAATATGTGTACTCCCCATAACCATTACGCTTCTCTTGATTACTGCTTTCATACGTTATATATAAAATGTTGTTTGCATCACGTCCGTAAAATGCGTGTATAGATAGCCTTTAGCGTGTAATGGCCCGAAGGCGCCAGCCGAGGCCATGAACGCCTACTTCACGCCCTTGATACATAAATAATTTGGCGAAATTATGTATGCCACCGAAGAAAGATCGAATGGTGGTCCACTCGAAATTACTTTACTGCTCCATCACCTACTTTACTGCCCCATCACCTACTTTACTGCTCCATCACCTACTTTACCGCCCGCCGGAATACTTTACCGCCCTCCGTATTCTTTTATCGTCTACTTTTCGCCCGCGAATTCGGGCGATAAAATGCCACTTTACGTCCGGTCGTGCATACAAGTCTATAATAACCGTTAAACATCATGCTATAACAAGAGCCCAGGATATTAATTTTGTCATATCTTATGAAGAGAAGAAAATATTTTCAATGTTTTTATTAATATATCAATAAGAAAGAAATACTTTAAAATTACATATCACCAGTATATGCAAATATTGTTTTGATATTTAATCGTCTCATCCCAATTTTTATTACTTCACAGTAATTTCCTCAATTTGCCACTATTGTAGAACTATCCAAGATCAACAATGCTGTCAAATTTTCAGCTGATATGTAGGTAGACACATACAATTTAATAGTACAATTGTCTCAATGGGTAAATAATTAACTAGGCGTCTAACTAGCAAGCAAGGAATTGCAAGATACTTTCCAGCAAAAAAATGCACAGGGATACACCATTGATATTTTGTAATGCACTATTTTATACTAGCGCTGTTTTGTGACAGAGCCTAGTGAAACAAAAATATCACTAATTTTATGCTTTGTTCCTTGTTTATGTTCATATTTTATTATGCATAATAGACGAATACACTGCGACCTAGAAATTCTATTGCACCTGATGTGGTAGTTCTCAGTGGCTACATAACAATTTCGCTAGTCCTTCGGCTTGGATAAAGAGCATGCCATGATAATTATATGTGGAGTTAATTGATAAAAAAAAAACAACTGACGCACTAACTCAGCACTATACTATTAATCTGTTGAAATTATAAGAGGGAACATGCGTCAGACCTTTTGTGAGGATGTCATGGTCAGTGGATATAATATATCTTGAACTATGCTTTCCTCACTTCATTATACCTCCTCATAGAGTTTGTTTCATAGCTTATATAATGGACAATTTATGATCCAATTCAATATACACATGCCACATCTCTGCTGAATATAATATGTGTGTATGATTCCAAATAACACTCCTGTACTAAATGTTATTGTATTTGGCATCAATTGTCTATAATTATTGTGATATCTATGTTTTGAACAATTTTGTGTGAATTGTGATGTCTCTATTGCAACCTGTTGATAGTTTTGAAGAATATGAAATATTTGATAAATGCTGTGCTGATGGTTAATCGAGGAGGTGGAATATGAGTATCATTTCAATATGTCGAAAACGGGAGCAGATTTTTTCCCAACACGTCCAAAGCTAAGTGAAAATTTGATATTCTTTCGCTATATTTATAATCCACTTTTTCAAACATTTTTCAGAACAAGGTGTCACAGACCATGGATTGAATATTTATTTTTGATTCCCCAATAGTAAAATTTTCAAATGCAGTAACTTTTTTGTGACTTTCATAATCATCTGATTTGTCCTTACTACATGCACATTATGTTTTTATTTGTAGAAACGAGGAGAAAAAATAGAACAAAAAATAGATACTTGAAGGACAAAGAAATATTTGCCCTGAAATGGGAGATAGGTACCTTCTTAATATTTTACTGAATAGTCCATTCAGTGAAGATTTTCACTTTCTTCGAAAGA